ATTGATTTGAGTCAGTGCTCCCTTTTGACCCACGCTAGTATTGGTATCGCAGCCAACTCATTGGGATCAATTCTCAAGGAACTCTGTATAGATGATTGCCAGAGCATAGATGCAATGCATATATTACCTTCACTGGAGAAGATGGAGCATTTGGAACTGTTGTCGGTAGCTGGAATTCATAGCGTATGTGATCAGTTTATAAGCGAGCTACTTACAGCACGTGGTCAAAATATAAAAGAGCTTGATATTTCCCGCTGCCCGTAAGTGCATATTACTTCCACTTCTCGATTTACTATGACACAGTTGGTGAAGATTAAACACTCACATTATTTAGATTTAATTTAGTCTTTTAACCTCATCTGTTCTGGATGCAGGAATCTGACTGATCAATCCCTGAAGTTTATTGGAGAAGCATGTGCTTACTTGCATTCGTTAAATATTTCAAAGTTGAGTGAATTGACAGATGTTGGACTGCAGTTTCTCGCGAATGGTTGTCGATCAATTCAGAAACTCACATTTTGCCGTAATAATTTCAGGTTTGGTCCTGATATCCAGTTTGCTTCATGAAATGTTCAGTTATGCTACTATATTTAATGGCAATAATGATGGCTCTTTCACTAAGCTTTTGTTGGCAAGCACTTCCTTTAGTCAGAACAAATTAAGTTTCTCTGTCCATACTCCCTTAAAAGGAATAGACATTATGCATATGGGAAGCAACTTTGAGATGGTATTTCTATACCAAATAAGCTCAGAACAAAACAAAGGACCATCAATTTACTTCTGTAATTACTTGTTTGTGGATAGTGTTCTTTTTCCCATTTTCAATATTGGAAGCATATTTAAAAAGTTCTTCAGTGAAATTGGACTGCACTTTAAAGGAAAAAACCAAGAAGAAAGCAGTTTCCTGGAATTTGCCATACTTTGACATGCTGCATGTTGCGTAGACTTTTTCTGCAGACGAGCAGCTAAAGAACTTGCTATGATCAATTGAACATGTCTACCCTGCGTGTTTAACTTGCATCATGATTGGTAGAAGCCGCTTAATTCCTTAGGGTCGTGAAGCTCAGTTCTGAGAAGGAAGAGATTGGTTTCAACCTATGTTGCTTAGACTCTCCAAAAACGTAGCCACAGTGCCACACTCATGTTGGATTGTCTAAAATGCACTAATTTTAAAGAGTTGGCACACACCATTAGCATAATTAAGAGTCCGAGCAACGTTTTTGATGAAGAAAAATGTTGCTCGGACTCTTAATTATGCTAACGGTGTGTGCCAACATAGGTCTCAACATATAAGGTAGGGTCTTCTTGAGGGGTCTTTTGCACATGTCTCCCGCAATATAATATTTTGTTGTGCCTTTCACGTGAATAAAAGTGCTAGAGGTGAGATTAGCTTCCGGGAGCCTTACAAACAACCAGAATAAGGGAGACAAAAAGAATCCTTCCTATTGGTTCATGTTGTCATCAATAGAAAAGGAGAGGCGCTAGAAGAATTACGATCCAGGCAGGAACCTAGTAGTAGTTCCTTTGTTCTGACACTCCCTTGGGAAATGGGGTTAGACATGAAGCAATTAAGGTTGAACAACTCATTATTATCCTATGTTTCACTTTAAGCAATTGCTTTTTGACTTTCTTGCAGTCAATGTAGTGGTGAAAAGAGAGACACTTAGCATTTATCAGTGGGGAAGAATGGGTGTATGAGAGAGGTGCAAGTGAGTGGTCCCTGGCCTTGGTTATTAAGTTGATCAAATTATGCCTCCACATCATTTTTAATGACATATCCTCCAACTAAAGTAGAATAATTATCACTTAATATTATAAGTCTACTTAAGGTTTAACAATAGTCTGGAGGTTTGGAGACGGATCCTGAAGTCAGGGTTAAGGTTCAACTAGACAGACAGATATAGTTGGAGTGCAAGTTAATTGATGTAACACACGTGGGTAGATATGAAATTAAGGATTGATACACAAGTCATCTCCAAGAAAGGAAGTTTCAGGATCTGGGGTCAATAATCCAAGGAAATAGGGAAATCGACAATGGTGTTACACATCGTATTGGATCGGGGTGGATGAAATGAAAACCTGATCCAATGTCTTGTGTGATAAGAGTGTGCCGAAAGCCTTAAGGTAAGCTTTATAAAGTGATCGCCAGATTAGCCATACAAGCTATGTTGTATGAGAAGGAGTGTTCGGTCAAGAACTCACACGTCCTGAAGATCAGAGTAGCAGAAATGAGGATGTAGAGATGGATGTTTGGACATATGTGGAGAGATGGGATCAACAATGAAGTTATGCGAGGCAAGGCGGGAGTGGCCTCCATGGTGAACAAGATGAAGGAGGGAGGCTGAGAGGAAACTGGCACTTTGGAAATCCCAATATCTATCCTGTGGGGAAGAGTCACTTTGATTAATTCTATTTGACTCTTTGCCAACATATGTGATGTCACTTTTTCCCATTCTCGGCAAGGTAGTCAAAGCTATAGACTCATTGAGATGAAATTTCATTTGGCAAGTAACAAGATTGAGAAGAGCTACAACTTAGTTAAATGGATGATGGTTCAACATAGCAAAAGATATGGGGGTTTTGGAGTAAGAAACCTAAAGATACACAACAACAACTTACTTACCAAATGGTTGTGGAGATACAATTTGGAAGATCAAGCTCTATGGAAGGAACTCATTCAACACAAGTACGGTCAGGAAGATCAATGGTGGTCAAAGGAAGTGACAGAAACATATGTGGGAGTATGGAGGATTATGTCTTTCAGAGACAATGTAAGGATAAAAGTTGGCCGAGGGAATAAGACTTTGTTTTGGAAGGAAGACTGAACTGGTCAAGGGTCCTTGGAAAATTTATTCCCTGGGTTGTTCTCCATTTGACTGAATGCTGACAGCAAAATACAAGAGGTTTGGTCTCTACAAGGATGGAATTTGCTCTTTAGGAGATTTCTTAATGATTGGGAAATGGAGTGAGTATCGGATATGCTAGCTTTGTTTGGAGATTTTCCTGGCACAAATCTGGAAACAGATAAATTGCTATGGAGGAATCATACTGATGGTCAATTCTATGTGAACAGAATGTATAAAAGGGATCTAGCCACAATTGTGGGGAAGAAATCAAGGTCATGGAGTGCTATATGGAAGAGTGTAGCCCCTACTAACGTGAAGAGTTTCACTTGGTTGATAACTAGGAGAGCTTGCCTAACACATGATAGACTTCAAAAGAGGGAAAAAATTATTGCCTCAAGATGTTATCTTTGTAAAGAGGCGGTAGAAATCAACAATCATCTGGAAGGAGAGAAATCAGAGAATTTTTGTAAGGAAAGAATGCCCTATAGAGAAGATTAAGTGGAAAGTACTTACCTCTTTAGGTTTTTGGTGTAAAGAAATGAACATAGAAGAAGAAATTCAACTAGAGGATTTCAAATGAGCTTTGTAAGTAGCCCGGTTTTTTTCGTTTTTTTTTCGTTTTTCTATGTAACTAACACTTTTGGAGGTGACCACATAGCCCTTAATGCTGAGGAATACAAATTTACCAGTTTTTTTTTTTAAAAAAGATGCATAGATGCCCAACGAGGAGATGTGAGAGGTTTTTTGAAATAGTTTTGGGAAGAAGCAATTAGACAGGACATGACTCACATGTATCTTTTCGAGGACCTGATTCTAGATAGGAAGATACGGAGGTCAAGGATTAGGGTAAAAGCTTTGGAGGTAGTCGAGCACTGTCTAGTTCCTTCACCTGTATCTTACCGTGACATGACCCTAGATAGGAAGATATGGAGGTCGAGGATTAGGGTAAAAGGTTTGGAGGTAGTCGAGCATTGTCTAGTTCCTTAATTAGTATTGTTATAATTACTCTCCTATCTTACTCTGCAATTTTAGTATTACCTGTTGTTTCCTTTGCATTAGTTACCGTATTATTTGTTGCTGCTACTTGTTCTCTTCTTAATTGTTTTCTGCATGACTTCTCGCTATTGTATTTTCTTTACATACTTGATTTATGATATTTGGGCCGAGGGTTTTTCGGAAACAACCTCTCTACCTTCACAAGGTAAAGGTAAGGTTGCATACACGCCACCCTCTCCAGACCCCACTTGTGGATTATACTGGCATGTTTTTTTAGCCACTTTTTATTAGCTCCCCCTTTTTCAATAGCATATACCATGAGTAAACTAGTAAAACTTTAAGTTTTTTCACTCTGATATCATGTTTATAGCTGGTGAATTGACTCCTTTATAAATGAAACTGTATGTGTTAAATAATAATCCGTTATTGCAATGGATTACTTGAAGAGTTGCTGCCTATATCTTCATGATGTACCACTAGACAGCTACAAGGTTTTTTTTCTAATGGTTTTGGAAGATAAGGAATTGCAGGAAAATACTAATGATTAATGAAAGAACAAGATATTAAAGAAATTGAAGTTGGAAGTTTGATATTATTTTACTACAATTTGTAATAGAATACTAATTTTAAACCTAAATATAAGCAACAAAGTCTGCTGAAAATAACAAACTCCTAGAGTCAAGAAAATACTAACTATTCAAAATTCAAATAGAAATCAACTCTTAAATACCAGTCTATCTAGTGGAGTAGGTCTATCTTAATAATATTACTACAGTAAAAGAGCTGGCAATTATTCAACACTCTTCCTTGCTAGCAAATGTAAAATTTTGAACTTTAATCTTGAAATCTTCACACTTTATAACCGAAAGTGACCTTGTCGCTAAATCTGCAGATTCTTTTTTGGACTTGTAGTGATCTAAATTCACTTATAGACTTGAATGCAACCCTTGACTACTAAATCTTTTTGGGCATGTCTTCTTTCTCCATTAGCGTCTTCACGTTAAACTTATCCATTTTATTTTCCTGAACATAGACAACTCCTCCGTTGCTTCAATTCTTTTGAGAACATTGAAAGCTTCTTTAATCCTAGCAGGTTCACATTTTGCTTGTGCTTTTTCAATTGGAAGATCATCTTCCAATTCTTTTCAGCCTTTGGTCTTTTGCATGTTTTACAGGAACATCTTCCATTGGATCAAATGAGAAATGTTTTCTTCATCTTAAATTTTTAAACATCTCTTTTTCAGTATCATCGCTGATGAAGCAATGTTTATCCTCAAAGGATAGTTTGAATCCTTTATCTACCAACTGACAAATAATCAACAAATCTGATCAATATGAGGTTACGTATAGAACATCTGAAAATGTCTTGTTACATGAACTTGTTTTGATGATGACAATTCCTTTTCCTTCAACAAGAATTTGGTCTCCTTTTTTTATTGTAAACTTTGGAAATTTCAGTAGGCTAGCTCCTTGAACAAACTCTTGTCGTAAGTCATTTGGTTAGTGTAACCTCTATCAGTTAACCATTATTTTTTGGCTGAAACCTTACTTGAGATATATGTTGCAACAAAAAGATGGTCTTCTTCTTCTTGATTGGCGGCACGTACATCTGTTTTATGGTTCTTAGATTTATTTTTGCAAATCATTGCTTCATGACCAAGCTGCTGGAAATTGTTGCACTTCACCTTTCGGCCTTTTCCAACATCCGAATGGTGGATGACCCATTTTTCCCAGTGCTCACAAGGTTGGTAAGTTTTTAATTTTACCCCTGCTTTGAGTTTTGTGACTGGTGGCTAAGGCTCTTTCAACCATTCTATCTTGCCTAATAAGTCTCCTTTGCTCCTGTGCATGGAAAGAATTTATCAACTTTGCCAAGTTAATCTTGGACAGATCTTGTGTTTCCCAAGGTCTATACATGATTCATATCATTCGGGCACTGTTACAAAATTAAAAAATTCCAACAAATCTTGAATCTTTAAATTTAGTTCCTAGCAGTCTTACCTTGTTAATAATGTCAAGCAATATGTTTGAGTATTCTTTGGCTGGATGAGAATCTTTCATTCTCTGGACTCGAATCCCCTTATTAAATTCAATACTTGCATCCCACGTACTCATTTATCTCAGCTAAGTTTTTCTTTAGATAATCCCAAGGTCTGTTTTGAAAGAGAAGAAATTGCAGGAAAATATTTAGGAATAATGAAAGAATAAGAACGAAGAACAATAACAAAAAGAACTTATGAAATGAAGTTGAAAGTTCGATATCATTTTACTGCAATATAATACTAATTTATAATAGAATACTAACTTCAAAACCTAAAGATAAGCAAAAAAAGACTCTTGAAAATAACAAACTGCTTAAGTCTTAAAAGTACTATTTATTCAAAATTCAAATAGAAATCAACTACTACATACTAGGTTCGATTAGTTGACTAGATCTATCTTAATAAGATTACTGCAGTAAAAGAGCTTTCAATTCTAAAGCAAATATTCAACATTTTCCGACATATGAGAGCTTTTAGTGTAATTTTATATGCATTGTGGTAGTTTTAAGGATAATCAAAATTTTATTTCGCACCATCATTTTTGGTTTCCTTATCATGCAAGTTGCGATCTAATATATACTTAGCATGTTAGTGATGAAGGGATTGCTGCATTTTTGGAAGCTTCTGGAGCATGTTTGGAGGAACTTTCACTGAATACTTGCTATAAGGTATACTTATTCCACTCTCAAATATGCTTATTAAGCCCAACGATATTGCTAGTTTCTTACTATATCTCTGTGTAGAGTTACTGAATAGTTTTAGATTCCTGAGTTCTACACAAGATTTAGCTGTTGACCTGCATTTAAGCGTCTGATGATAGTCTCACTTATAAATTGTGTTGTATTGCAAATTTCATGCCCTATAAGTTATAATAACTAGGATATGATCTATATCATATTTTATTGAGTTTGTTAATATGTCAAGCATTTTGCCCGTGTGTGGTCTTCTCTTACAATAGAAAGAGAGAGAGAGAGATCAATGCCTTGGGAACTGGTGAATATCAGGGGAAAGTCATATAGTTAACTTTTTCTAAAAAACTGTTGGTTTCTTTTTGGTACTACCTGCTTTGTTAGTGACTGACGGAGATCTTTGACAGGTCAGTACTAGCACTGCCTTGTCACTAGCCAAACTTTCAAGAAAGTTACTGCATTTGGACCTATCATGGTGTCGCAGAATAAGTGACAGTGAGCTAGGGCTGATTGTAGACAGCTGCGTGTCGCTCAAGCTACTCAAACTCTTTGGCTGTTCACAGGTATGCCTGGGCAACCCAATAGTTAACAAGTTTTTCAATTCTACTCAAACTCTTTGGCTGTTCACAGGTATGCCTGGGCAACCCAATAGTTAACAAGTTTTTCAATTTCATTTTTGGCATTTTCAAGTGTTTACCGATTTGATGCACATTATCGTTTTCTTGGCTCATATCCATGTATTACACTACTGTCTGCTATAACTGTATCACAAGAAATGGTTCTGGGAATCCTAGTATCTTTTCAATTAGCGGCACACCTTTTGAATTCACTAAATTTATTGGCTCTCTCTGTTCGGGGTTTCCTGTTCCAATTAGTTTGTGTCAGCATCAGTTGGCCAACTGTCACTTTTGCAATTATGATGTATAAAGTGAAAGGGATATGGAACAGATAAGAAAGGTGGTAGTTCTATGAGCGGAACTTGTCATCCATCATTTCTTACCTCATCCAATTCTCTATTGTGCATTCTCCAGCTTCACTGTCGTCTGGTCCTTTCTGATTTAAGTCATTATGATATTTATGTTGTGATCTCTTTCTGAGGTTTCACTGAGCTTAGAACTGCGGTAGCATTTTAGAATCAGAGTGTTTGATAATTTGCAAAATCTTGTTTTTTTCTTGCAGATAACAGATGCATTTAAAAATGGCCACTCAAACACTGTAGTGGAGATCATTGGATTGGGTATGACCCAGATAATTGATATTGGCAGGTTTGATGGCGTGGAAGTTCTATTGAAACATTCACCAGTAGTGAAGTCTTCTAATTCATGAAGGACACTTGACTTGATGATTTGACGATGCATCTAAGATTCCTCAATGCACAGCATTGCACCTATTGGAACAAATAGAAATCGTCTCTTTTAGTTGTAATCTTTTCTTTGAAACAGCCTGTTCCTCCTTACTTTACAGGTCATACATGATCACTAGACTACAAATGGTTGCCAAAAATCTGGCTAAATAGGCTTATAGCAATACATCTCTTGTCCTCGATGTTATAGCTTGTTTCTTTCTGACAATAGATTACATCGAGTTGATTACTATAACAATTATCACCATATTGCTCAATTATTCTTCTACTCGCTTGGTGCTCACTTCCAAATGCATTATGTCTTTGTAGATCTCTCGATTCAACTTATGAATTTGTGGCTGCAGCTGAACTAACCAGTTCTATATTGAGGGGGTGGGTAACATTTTACTTTCCGTGTCCCCCAATTCATGTGACACTCAAGTCTTTTTAGTCGGTCACAAAAAGAACAAGTAACTGTCTAATTTTAAACTCAGTTTACACCTTAATGAGAGATTTATAGCCACGGAAATATCTATGGCTTATTGTGGATCATAAGTTTCAAAAGTCTTCTTCATATTCTTTAACTTTGTACCCGATCAAACACCTATACATAAATTAGGAGAGAGGAAGTAATTATCGATGGATGTAGAAACTATCAAATACAGATTGCTCGTTTCCCTGCACTCAAGAACGACAATGGTGAAATCAAGTCTTGAGTTGGTTTCACTTCAATTTTGTTGATGCTTTAATTCAAAAACTCGATTTGCCCTCTTTTCCAAATGACACATGAACACTAATCATACAAGGTACATATCTTTAGCCCTTTTGTTATTCGTGCTAGAAAGCTTTAAACTTCAAAACAAATGCAAGAACAAGGAGAAATATGAGAATCCCAGTGGAAGAACCACCAACCCTGTGAATCCAGTAAGGATCGAACCTGGTAAAGCTCTGGTCCAAGTAGCATGACATAGCAATGGCAATGATGAGAAACAACATGAGCAATGGCAAGTAAGAAGAGATGCCAAGTGATTGCTCTTCAAGCTCTGGATCGACCAACTTTCTCCTGTCGATGTACAGAGGTGAGAGTATGGCAACAAGTGTAAGACCTATGGCTAGAAGCCTATGATCATAGGATGAGAACCGGGCCAATTGATGAGAAATACTTATGCTCATGATGAGGGTGATCAACAAGAGTAGTGGAAGATAGGAAAAGATGGTTTGTTCTTCAAGCTGGGTTTCTATAGTGTTTTTTCTACTGTCAATGTATAGAGGAGAGATGACAGCCACAAGTCCAATGCCTATGGCCAAAAACCTCCTATCATTTGTAGGAAACTTGCCTCTCCTGCTTAAAGATTCCTGCTCCATTGAATATAGTAGTCACCCACCAATGCTTCCTCAACTTAGACCTTTGATAGGGCCATTGGTTAGTAAATTGTTTTTAATTTCTCAGAATCTTTTTTTTCTTCTAGAATTCCCATCCCTTGCTATCCTTGCATCAAAAGTAACCCTTTTAGAAGAAAAAAGAGTGGCCCTTTAGATTAAGGATATTTCCAGAAAGTGAAAAAGTTGATATTCTTTTGGAAGATAAGGGCAGCTACAAGTGGTGTTGTGTAGTTTGGCATCTGATTCTGGCTGCATGAACCTGGAATCTCTCTATTTGTACAAAGTATTAGTGCGTAACTTTTTCTCTATTGTTTATTTTGAGCCCATTATTCACCACCTTCATTGACAATTGCCACATCCTTAGGTGCACAAGATAAGTGGAAAACTATACTAGTTGCAGTTTATGAACTAGATTCCCATCAAAGGAATTGGGATGATGCTGTAAGCATGTAACTTACAGAAAATTAGCTACCAGAACTAAAGAGAGAGATTTTAGACAAGTCATCTACTAGGTTATCGGAGCCTCCATCAAAAACATATTCACTTGATAGTGACATAACCTTCTATCCAAAAAGAAGAGAACAGGGCCAAAGATTATTAGTATCACCTCTCTTTAAGATATAAAAGCTACTGAACTGATGAAATTCTTTACATGGAGTGATGAAAAACTTTCTGGTTTACATGAAAAAATTAAATCCAATTTGTAGTACATTTTTACATTTTAATGTCAAATTGTAGTGTCGACAGAGTATGGCTTAGCATCTGTGAATACATGAATGATGAACAGAAACCTGCTTAACTTTCATCATCAGAAGTCTTTGACTTGTTTCCGGAAAGTCTCCTCATCCATTTCTTCTGCGATGTAGTAAGATGAAATATTGGTGCACGGTGTGGAGTATCTGATGATTCTCTCACAGTTGTGGATGGAAGTTCAGCAGGAAGTGCAGATGCAGTGCTGGTGAAGGCATTCAAAACAAGAAATGCCAATATGGGGGAAAGATCTAGAGTCCCTCCAAGTGGTGGAATAATCCCACGGAATATGTTCAAGTATGGGTCGCATAGAGTGCTGAAAAGGAATACAGCATTTTTAACAATGTATGCATTTCAGATTTCACACAAAATTGAGTCATTCTTTTCAACAATGTATGCATTTCACACACAATAGAGCCATACACTTAAGTAATTGGATTCTGGAATACTCACCTGACTGACACCAGCTCCGCTAAGTGGTTAAAAATTACTTTAGAATAAGGAAGTACTGGAAACTACACTATCCACAGTTTATGAATGCTCAAATGAGAAGAATACACAGCTCAGCTTTTCTAAATGCTTTGCATGATGTTGACCCGTAATAATATAACAAAGAAGCAGGTCAACTGAGCAACAAGTACACACAATCCGCCCAAGGATTACCATTATTGTTTTTCTTTTAATAAGGTCCTGGAAGACTATTTATATAACACTAGAACTCTTAATCCTTCAATCTGATTCATCAATGCAAAGCCACAAACAGAAGACAAAATGTCCTGATATTGTCTCAAAAGTAAAATATAATAACAATACAAGAATTTGTGAATTGAGTGATGCAAAACACACTCGAGCTACCACTAGAAATTTAGTAATTATTGTCTTTTCTTTTCCTGTTTTCGTCATGGATAATTAGCCATCAGTTTCATTGAAGTAAGAGGATGTCATTTTGATGCTTGAATTTTGAGGACTGGCATGCATCACTATTTAAAACTTTTATCAATTTATTTCCTCAGCATATATGTCCCTAGTATGCAAAGTTGTCATTGCTTTAATTGATTATAATAAAGTATCATTTGAATCATAGACATTGTTGAACTATAAAGCATACCTGAGAGGACTGACAATGGCAGGAGGGGCATTTGGGAACCAGGTTAATACAAGTCTGACAACCAGTAATGAATTGTAGATGTTCAAGAAATTTATAATTCCATTTGCAACAACAATTCCTGCAACTGAGTCACCAGGCAAGACAGCTGCAAAATTGTGATGGGACAGATTACCCATGTTCTGGTAAGTCCTGCACTGTACCTGGAAGTAAATTCAGTTGAGGATACTCAAATTATTACACAGATAAAATCATAAAAGGAAATATAACAAGCCGAGAAACTAATAATTTCTCAAGTAACAAGAGAGA